AGATGTGGAGAATCTATTCTCTGTTGGTGGGAATAGAAACTGGTATGGTACCATGGGAATCAGTATGAAGTTTCCTCAAAAAGATAGACATGATCTACTATATGACCAAGCGATACCACTCTTGGACATATACCCAAAGGGCTCTGTATTCTACTTCAGAGATACCTGTTCATCCATGTTCATAGATGCCCTATTTTCAATAGTTAGGACATGGAAACAGCCTTTAACCAATGAGTGGATAAAGAAGATGTGGTACATGTACAAAATGAAATTTTATTCAGATATAACAAAAAATTGAAATCTACAGGAAAATGGATGGAACTGGAAAAAAATGTTCTGAGTGCAGTAACTTTACTTAGAAAGACAAACACTGCATGGTGTCCATCATACGGGGATCCCGGCTTCTGTATTTAGATTGGTGTGGTACATTGGAGTACTTTAGAAGCCATGAGACTAGAAAAGAGCCAGTGGGGTGGAGATGCCTTAATGAAGGGGATAGGTTATATAAAAGTAAAATAGTGAGGGTGGAAAATTTTAAGTAAGGATGGGGGAGTGGGAGGGAGGGTTAACCAAAATGAAGAGTGTATAAAAAAGTTATATGGAAACTTACAACTTTGTGAACCAACTGAAAAATATCAGTTTCAAAAAAAAGTGTTAGAAAGGAGAAGGATATTGTAGATATCTAGTAATGTTGTTCCTAAGAGCCACATGTTACTGTATAAAAATTCTGTTGCCAGGCGTGAGACACTTCTTTATGAGCTGACCTTAGAGAATCCCCAAAGGTTCCCAAAACCTTTCCTCTTGTTTGTCGGCTAGAAATAGTTGATAGGAATCTATTGCTAAAAACTCTGCTTGCAAGACACAGAGATCAGTCTGGCGCTGAGCTGGAAGTTTCCTTCCTGTTGGTTACCTTCAGAGCGCCAGAAAGTTCTATGCAGGTTGCCACAGAAGAAAAGTTATTAGCAGTCTAACCCAGGTGTGAACCCGATGAACTATAACTTGCCAGGCAAGTTATGCCCACTGATGCAATAGTGGCACGATTTATTGTGGGGGTAACCAGCTGGTTTCTGATTGGATTTGAGGTTTACTCCAAAGGAGGGAATTTATCATAAACAGGATGAAAAATCCATGGTTAAAGAGGTCTTAGGCCCTCGTGAGGGTGGGGGAAGCTTACTACTATTGTTTAGATAAATTGAAAGTTTGATGCAAACTGCCTTTCAAATATTTACTTTTCTCCCCATGGACAAATGCTACTCTCAGCTTCTCATTGCCTTGAAAGGCAGCAAATTCAGAGACTCATGGCTGTTTAAAGTGTTGAGAATAAATGCTGACTGAGGAGTGCTCAGCTCTAAACAGGACATTTATACCACCCCCTCCAAGGCTCAGGGAACATCAGGGAAGAGGGGACAGAAAGAACGTAAGAGCTGGAAGACAGAGAGAAGGACTGTGAAGTACTATCTTCAGTGAGTGGCACAGCCATTGCAATCATGATCTCACAGACCTATGGTTGCCTGCGACAGACTGGGCCTGTCAATCACAGATCAAGGAGGGGCTCATGGGTCCCTACCCCTCCCTGTTTCAAAGACTGGCTACTGGTGGTCTAGGGGGTAGTCGTTGTCCTTAGTTGTGTATAAGCTGGGTGAGCCCAAAAGGCACCAATGGATAGTTGGAAACCCAGGGTCACACAAATGGCCCTAGTTAAACTGAGTGGCTCATAAAACCAAACAAAAAGACAAGAATGTAGGAAAGGATTTGTAGGGAGGAGGGGGGATGACAGGGCTGGGAGAGAGAAGAGAGGGCAGAGGGCAAGAGTAATCAGAATACATTACACACATGTATGAGATTGTCAGGATGAATTCAATGATGGTCACTGAAAAGGAAAATTAAAGGAGAAAAATAAAGAAGCAAGAGTAATGAAGGATGTGATATGTATGCACCTGGGTGCGGAGGCCCAAGGCGTCTTCCTTGGTAACTCTTCGCCATGTTTGTTTGTTTGTTTGTTTGTTTGTTTGTTTGTTTTGAGAACAGTGTCTCTCACTGAACCTGGAGCTTGTCCATTCAGCTAGACTGGCTTGCCAGCAAACCCAGTATTCTTCCTCTGTTTCTCCAAGTGCTGAGATTATAGCTCATGATGCTGTACCTGTTGGCACCTGGGGCTGGGACTGCAAGTCACCCAGCCTCCTTGATGGAGAAACTACTGGGTTCTTGGCCTCTCTGATATGAGACAGCCTTTATTGGACTGCTCCAAAAACAATCCAATAATTCCTCTCTTAATATATAGTCATCTTATTGGTTCCATTCCTCTAAAGAACCCTGGCTAGTACAGAAGGTTTTACATGGTATAATTTATGTAAAACATCACTTACCAATACATAAATATGTAAGAATGTTTCTAATCCATGCATAGAGTTACCTCACTACTGTGACACCATTCACACAGTCCATGTTGTAGGAATTTGGTCATACCTACATTTTACTTTCCTTGGAAAAAAATATTTGAGGCTACTATGGCAAATTTTAAAAAATATTTTATTTATTATTTTTATTTTAAGTGTATGAGTGTATTGCTAGCATGTATGTGAGTGCACCCGTGTCACGCAATGCCATGGAGGTCAGAAGAGAGCTTCAGATTCCCCTGGAACTGAAGTTAAGGACAGTTCGTAGCCACCATGTGGGTGCTGGGAATTGAACCTGGGTCCTCTGCAAGAGCAGTGAGCGCTCTTAAACGTGGAGCCATCTCTCCAGCCCCAATACTATGGCAAAATTTTAAGATTTGGTCTTGATGGTAGATTCAGGGCTATTTTTTCACTGGCGTTTAATGTCTTTTACAATAAAAAAATGAAAATATATTCGTTGGTGAAATCGACATTTTAACTGAGTTATGTTAGGTGATGTTTTCTGATAGCCTTGTCTCAGTGCCTAGAAGAATGCAGGAAATGAAAGATGTTTTATGAATGAGATCCGTGAAGAGACACTTTGAGATTCATTTTCTTTCTCTACATTCTCTATTAAACTCTATTTCATGCCTCTTCCCCCTCCTGTTCATTCTGCAGAGGAGGCCCTGATATATCTTGAACTTCCAAACAAAATGTGAATGACAGTACAGAAGGACAAAGGATAAAGCATAGTTCCTCTCCCAGACTCTCAGACTCACATTTATGTTGTGTCAAGGGGAGCTACAGAAGGCTCGTTTATCTCTGTGGCTCCTGGTTCACCCGCTAAGCTCATCTTTCACACATTAGAGAGCTAAAAACCTTCAGAGACTACAGCTTCCACCAGTAAATTAAACCCCTTACTTTGAGGCTTTGTTTCTGTTTGATTTTTTAGAATAATCTAAAATAAAAGTGCCTCTTAGACGATGAAGATTGTGACAGGTGACTTATTCCCCAATATCCCTAAATACACTTTGCAATTTTATTTTTTTATAACAAAAAAGAACATTTGAAAAGGAAGAGATATTCCTTCTATGTTTTCTGCATAAACAGCAAGGTAAAGGACTCTCTGTCTTCCATTATAATTTCAACAATGGCAATAATAACTGGAAACCACAGTAGACATGCTGTGTAGTTACTATCTGACTGGTATTGTCCATTACATTGTGCAGCAATTTAAAGGCAACATGTGTGCATTGCTGAGGTGAGTTCTTTATTTACACTTTCAGAATTTTAGCTTCAATTAAGTCTATATGCACTTGACTTACATTAACATCCCTGTTCCAGCCTCCTCTCCTAGCTGTACCTAATTTTGCAATGCAAACAAGATGGTTCACAAGTACCACCGGAGAATAAACTGTTAAGTAATACTGGACAACCAACAATGACCACCAGATAAAACTCACAGAGCAGAATAGCTTTAAATAAGAAGTCAATATAATTCATAGACAGCATATAAAAAATTTACTAGGTAGGTGGGACTATCCATGTCTGTAATCCCAGCACTCAGGGGACCAAGGCAAGAGGATTATCATGAGGTCAAGGCTATCCTGCACTACAGAGTGAGGTTCCATGTCCAAAACATAAAACAAAAACAAACAAAAGAAAAAAAACTTCACAGTTACTGAACTCCACATTTGTTACTGTAAACAGTAGTTCAGTCCAAGTACCTATTTTCACAGATGATAAAACAGGTCAACATGTATGTTTCTCTCACAATCAGCCCAAAACATAGAAAACACTACAGATAGCTCTTAGGATGTTGTGGCTGTCCACACAGTTACTCAGACTGGAAGTTCAGGTACGTTTCACCTCTTTATAAAGAGGCCTGATATCTAGGATAAAAACAGTCCCATTGTCAAATGCCTTATCTCCTCAAGAAGACAAAAATTAATATGGTTGTCAAACCAAACTCTTACTCTCAGATAACCTGGCGAGAAGTCCTTTTACCATATGACCCCAAATTTCCCAAAATGTCCACATTTGTGCAAATATCACACAGAGGAAAGCGTAGTGGTTAAGGGTGTAAGAAGTTGGCAAAAGTAAAGGCTGGAGAAACAATGAAGCAACAGAAAGGGACTCGTGACTGAGAAAAGCTGAATTATACAGGTTCTCTCAACACCACACTCAAGAAAAACACCTACTGGGAACAACCTATTCTAAGATTCCTTTTTCATACTTGCAAGTCCAAGGCAAAAGACGATGAACTAACAACATCAGTAAAATGCCTGACTTATTGAATTCCTGAGAAAGGATATTGATTTTAAAGGAGAATTTAATTAAAATGCTGCATCCGCTTTCATAGCTAATATATTCAAACCATCATCGAAAATAAAAGAAACAAAATTCCCCAAATCCCTATATCCTGAAGATAAACTTTATAAAACCCACTTACTTTATGACTTCTATTTAATAAACATTTTGTAGAATTTATTGATTTTTTTTACCAATGGTTGTGCTACCAAAACTGGACTCAATCCTAAAATTAAATAACTTTCTAAAATAATCCAAATCCTTAGCATAAAATCTGCTACTACAACTTAGCCACTGTTTAAAAAATACACTTACCTCAACAAATATAAAACACGGGATGATGGAATAACTTCGTTGAGTGTTGTTTCCTACAGCCATTTCTCAGACCATGTAGCAAAACTGCACTGTCTGAAATTGTCCAGGCTGAAATAGAAAAAGGTTGCACGGTAAAGGGCCATATCAGTTATAGATATGCAGGCTGCGTTCAAACAATGCAAAAAAGTGATCTACAGCACAGCCAAGCTAGATTAATAACCATCCCAAAGAAAAGCAAATATATACCAGCTATGAATAGTCATAGAGCAAAATTGACCAGGGTAGGGAGCTCCTTACGCCCACAGGTATAAAAGAATTCTAATATGCTGGCATTACATTGTGCCTTAACTCAGTAGACTGCCATCGTGTCATGTAAACACGGTTTCTGGCATAACACATTTGTTACTGTGTATTCTGCATGGAATTCCCCTATCTATGCCTAACTCTAGTTTACAGACTTCAGTCTGCTTGTTCGCTTCTGACCTTGCCTCTCCCGTTGGGGCCAGCATCCACTACAGGCAGTAATCTCTCACACACCTTTCCTCCATTATTTGCCCTGGCTTCCTTGACTACGCAGCCATGTACTATTTGGGGTTAATACATTACTGACCTGTCTCTCTGGGTTCCCTCTGACCTGTGTGTGTGACCACAATATGAAACATTAAAGCAGCAATCCACTCTCCTCACTTACGAGAATGGAGTCGCTGGACAACAGCACATTGCTGGTAAATATTTTATCAGACGTTCTCTGTCTTGCTTTAAGCTGAAAATATTCTATTAAGAGACAGATTAATTTAGGTTCCTCTTGACAAAATACAATGAAGTTCATATTTTAGCTTTTTACAAAACTTTCCAGATAAAAAGAAACTTCCCATGACATCTTTTAAAACATTTTATTAAAGTTTTTGTATATGAGTGTATTGCCTTCATGTATATAAGTGCACCTGTGTCATGTAATGCCTATGGAGGTCAGAAGGGGGCATTGAATTCCCATGGAACTGGAGTTACAGGCAGTTGTTAGTTGTTATGTGGGTGCTGGGAATCAAACCCAGGTCTTCTGCAAGAGCAATCGGTGCTCTTAACCACTGAGCCAACTCTCCAGCCCCATTTTTATAAATTATTACATTTTATTTATTTAGTTGTGTGGGGAGTGTCCATGTGTGAGAGTGTGTATGCCACAGTGTTTCATGTGGAAGGGTCAAAGGACAACTTGTGAGAGTCATTTTTCTCCTTCCACCATCTGGGTCCCAGGTATCAAACTCAGGTCATCGGGCTTGGTGGAAACATGTGTTTACCTGTTAAGCCATCTCACCTGCTCCATGGCATCTTCTATTTCTATGAAGCATGACATGTATGTGCTCCTGACTGCTACTCATTATTTTTCACTCGCTCTGTGTCTGTCTAATTCCTACCAACAGTTCCTGTGGACTGTAGCATGAAGAGCGACACAGGACCTATGGGATGATGGGGTTGGCCGACTACTCCTGTTAACATCTTTAGTTCATTTCTCTTTACTAAATCCCCTTGCACCTTAGTTTTTCCTGAATGAAACTTGAAATTTTTCTCTTTTGAAGATGCCAAGTACTCACCTGTTAATGACAACTTCTTCTGATCAAATATAATCTTATATGCTTTGTAATTCCTATTGATCGCAATATTCAAATTTAAGTCTTAGGCAATGCTTAAAAATTAAAATGGACATTATATGTATGTAATAATATCCACAATGCTTTATCATTCAACTATGGGATTTAGGAGGAACTCATATTTTCTTTATTAAGAAAGGAAACATGGGGGCTGGAGAAATGACTCACAGTTAAGAGCACTGACTGCTCTTGCAGAAGACCTGGGTTTGGTTCCCAGCACCCACATGGCAGCTAACAACTGTCCGTTACTCCAGTTCCAGGGGATCCAATGCCCTCTTCTGGCCTCTTTGAGCATTGTGTATACATGATGCACTTAGATACATACAGGCAAACCACTCATGTATGTAAAATAAAAATAAATAAGTAAAAACAAAACTAAAAAGTAAAAGAAACACGCTTCACACATTAAATTAAAAATCATGCATTATTTCACTCATTTTTACTTAATTCATACACCTTAGCACTCACTTGTCAGAGTTATGATTCAGATGAGATGTGCTCTCCTGGCATCAACTAAATCCAGTGCCACACATATGAAGATGAAAAATTACTCATGGCCAGGTAAGAAGGAGTTCCAGGAAAAGCAAAGACATTAGACACATAGTATTTTGTGTGGATTTTCATAGAATTCATAAATAACAACAAAATGAACACTACAAGAGAAATTTGGGGGCTTTGTATAAAATTCTCTTTAATATTTATTTTCATACCAAATACAATCTAACTTTTTATTGGCATGTGGTATAAGATGTGTGTGTGTGTGTGTGTTATATGATGGCTACACTGAAGCCTATTTCATATAGCATACAATATTATCATTCTAAGTTCACTATTCAAGAATAGTTTTGTGAACTAACCAAGTTGTATAACTGTCACATAAAAGCTTAAACCATAAAAGCTTAAGTCTTACCATCAATTCTTTCCCTACCTCCTGAGTTTGGTCAACCATAAACCTGCTTCCTGAACTTATAGATTTCTATTTTCTAGACATTTCTAATGAATAGACTCATACAATATGTTATCTCTTGCTCCTGGAATAGTTCAGCTAGACTAATGTTTAAGAGTTCTTTTCATGTTATAGCACAGACCAATATTTTCCCTTTGTTTTTTTTGTATATGGGTATGCGCGCATGTGTGTAGGTACACATGTGTGATATATGTGTGAAAGTCGGCAGACAACCTCAGGTGTCATTCCTTAAGACCTATCTACATTGCCTTTTGAGACATGGTCTCTTATTGGCTTGAGGATTGCTGATTCCACCAGGCAGCTGGCCAGGGCTCCTCTTATTATCACAGTATTCACTGTTCAGCTGTACAACCTTGACCAAATGGTGGAAATTTATATTGTCTCAAGATTTTGCTATATCCAATATGATATTACAACCAGTGTCATGAATAATGATACTAAGAGTAGCTATGTATAAATATTTCTGTGGATTTATTTTTTCATTTCTCATAGGCAGATTTCCTTTAGAATAGTTGGACCATATGTTAAATCACATTTATTTTTAAAAGGCCTTTTTCAATGTCTTCCAAAATGATTATGCCCTTTTACATTCCCATCAGTAATAGAGGAGTGTTCTCATTTCTTCACACCCTTAATATAAAATTTTTATGGTCTACCTTTTTTATTATAGCAATTCCAGTATATATGAAATGATATCTCATTGTGGTTTTGAATTTTCATTTTTCTAATAATAAATGATATAGGTAATCTTTCCATGTATGTACTAGCCTCGTTATATCTCCTTTTGTGAAAAGTCTGTTCAAATCTGTGATTTTTGAGATTGGGTTGTTCACTGTATTATTTTCAGTGTGTAAGGGTTCTTTTTATATTCTAGACATGTGTCATTTATCAGATATGTGTTTCATAATTGTTTCCTTCCAGATCTTGCTTGCCTTTCAGTTTTCTTAATGGTATACTTTATATGCATATTTTACTAGTATAATGTTTTTAATTAGAGACTTTAATTTCAAAGACCATTGAATACAGAAATTTATTACCCTATTATACTGATCCAGATTTTCAACTACACCTTAAAAATATAGAGGATACAAATCAATGGCAAGATAAAATGTTTTACAATTATTAGAAAAGACCAACAGAATAGGTATAGTAAATAATTTATGGAAGCAACATACATCACTAATGAACATGTGAAAATATTTACAAATGCAATTATGTCAGGTTATGAAAACTAAAACAGACCACATTGAGATATTTCACATCTCTCAAAGTGGTAAAGCTGAAAATCTGATAGCCCAAGTGTTGAACCTTATTGAGCAACAGATCTTTTTCCACAAGGCTGGCGGGAATGCCTTTTGGTATAAATCAGTCACTCTGAATAGTGACTCAGAAGTATTAAAGTGAAAGATTCTCAGTTCCTTACCATATAATGAAACCTTTAAGAAAGTCTCAGGATCCAAAGCCCTTCTGCATCTCTGTACATGAGAACTGAGTATTCGAGAAACAAACTAAGAACAATCTATTTCCAGTAGATTCCTTATTCTTAGGGAAAAATGCAACTAAGGAGGTGAAATAGCTCTATGCTAAAAACAACAAAATATTGATGAAAGAAATTAAGACACCAAAAAAAGGAAAAGGCATCCTATATTCATGGATTAAAATAATATGTTTAAAATGTCCAGACTACCCAAAATAATCTACACGTTTGATGTAATTCCTTTCAAAATTTGGAGGGCATTTTACACAGAAGTGGAGGCACACAATCCTAAAATTCTTATAGAACCAGAAAAGAGCACAAGCAGCCAAAGTAATCCTGAGCAAAAAGGATAAATTTGTTTATATATATGCTAAATATTTGTATACATATACGCATACAAATTTATCCTTTTTCAAAATACGTTACAGAGGCAGTGCGGCTGAATCAACTTTTGTTGTGGCTTTCAACTTTTTCACTTGTTTCAGGGTATTTGCCATTGTTCCTTGAAGCATTTGTGTGATGGCTACTTTATGGTTCTTTCCAGATGATTCTAATACTTATGTCACAGTAAGAATTCATGTACTTTGATTGTCTTTTCTCATTTGGTTTGAGATACTCCTCTCTCTTATTATGAAGCATGTATTCTCACTGAAGCCTGCTTTATCATCAGGCTCAGGGTTTATTTAAGTCCTATGTTCTAACATGCCTGCTCTGACACTGCTCCAGTGTGCTGCCATGTAAAGGGAAGTCCAGGCCCTTCCAGGGGGTCTCCTAAGATCCCGAGTTGGAAGGACCCTTGCTCCTGTTACAGGCTTCCTATTAGGCCCCCACTGAAACCACCCTGGTCTATGTGAGGGTAGTTGGTCTTTATTACTCCCCATGTGACCCCTGCTGAAATTGTGGGACAGCAGCCTTGTTTTCCATAAATAACACTAAAACTGCTGACTTTCCATCCTATGCTGTCTATAGCACCCAGTGAGGAGAAGGAAAGGATGCCTGTTAGAGAGGGAGTTCTTGC